TTGAACAGTACTAAAAATAGACATATCTTTTAAACTTCCAATGGTACCCCTTTCAAGTACTTCTTTAACCTGCTTCTTTATTCTAAGATTTCAAATCCAATCCACCCAATCAGTAACATAGTCAAAAGAATACGACTGTAAACCCAGAATTTTAGCAAGAATGTCTTTGCAACCGAGCACTAGAAAAAAAGATGATTGTTAGATTCCATTCTAGCATCGCAAATAGGACAACAAATAGAAGGAATATCCAAACCTTTTAGAGACAAATTTTTTCGCATAGGTATCCGATCCATGAACATTTTCCAACAAAAAACATTCACTTTAATAGGCACGAAGTTGACCCATCTAGTAGCATTGGAAACCTTATCCAAGATAACTAAGTCAATCAAATTATGAGCCGAGGAAATTGAAAATTCACCTGAAGTCTCTAGATGCCAAACCCAACAATCTGCCACATCTTTCAAGAAAACTGTATTACAAAGCTCAAAAAACAAAGAAGCCTGCTCACTCTTGGCTCTCACCAAGAAGAGAACAACGAAAATAATCCAACCAAGAAAAAATACTACATTTAAAAGCCACCGTAACATTTTTGTCAATTTCTAACAAAAACAAATGGGGAAAACAGTCTTTAGGAGGAATTTCTCCCAGCCACACATCCGACCAAAAACGAATATTATCACCATTACCAATTAACTTCTTGTAGCTACCTAACACGTAGATCAAGAATAGCTTGAATGATGTCAATCCAAACTTATCTTGGATGAGGAAGAGTATCACAATTCAAAATAGCATTTTCCCCATGGATCGCTTTCACAACATGAGCCCATAAAGAAGCCTGATTAGTTCTAAATCTCTACACTCATTTAGAAAGCAGCGCCCTATTTAGAGAAAAGAAACTTCCAACTCCCAAACCCCTATCTCTGTTGCAACAATCACCTTATCTCAAGCAATCCAAGAGATATTCTCATCATCTTTGTCTATCCCTTTAAAAAAAGTTACTTCTCAACTTCTCCAACTTAGCAATAATATCAGTCGAAACTTTAAAAAGAGACATAAAAAAGTAGGAATAGAACCAAGAACTGATTGAGCAATGTAATACGACCGCCCATGGAAAGGGTGTTAACTTTCCATTTAGACAATCTTGTAGAAACCGTCTGAACAGTTGAATCCCAAGACTATAACCTGGACATAGTACCTCCAATCATAGAACCAATGTATATGAATGGACATAGTACCTCCAATCATAGAACCAATGTATATGAAGGGAGTCTTAAGAGCTGGACAACCAACTGAACAGTAACTCAACTTAATGAAAAGGAACACAAACTCCTAACCTTCATATTTTTGCACAGTAATATTCAATCCGGGCGCCACAAAAAACATTGTAAATAGAAACAATGTTAGAAATATTAGAATCTTTCCATTCACCTATAAATACCACATCGTCTGCATAAAAAATATGAGAAATCTGCATAGAGGAATCGACAGAAAGACCCATGAAAAAACCGTTCTCCATAGCCCGAGTAAACACAATATGCAAAGACTCCATCACTAAAAAAAGGAGAAAGAGGGGAAACTTGTTGTAACCCTCTAAAAAAATGAAACTCGTCAAAAGGGTTGCCATTGACCGACATCGACCCCGTTGAAAAATATATGCAGCCTATAATCCAACGCCTCCATTTATTGCCAAAACCATACTTATCCAGAATATCATTTAGATAATCTCAACTCACAAAATCATACACCTTCTCAAAGTCTACTTTAAAAATCATAGCTCTTTTCTTATTGTGCTTACACCAAGATAAAATTTCATTGAGAATTAAGGGACCGTCTAAAATTTGACAGCCAGAAACAAAAGCAAACTATTGTTCACTAATCAGGACATCAATCACCAAGCTAACATGATTAGCTAAAATCTTAGCTACAATCTTATATTGACAACCTATTAAACTGATAGGTCGAAAGTCCTTGACAAACTTAGCATCATAAATTTTCGGAATCAAAGCTATAAACAACGAGTTACAACCACTTGGAAAAAAATCAAAAATAAAAAAGTGTTGCACTGCTGCCACAACCGAACTCTCAACCATGCTCCAATATCTTCTAAAATACTCAAAAGTAAAGTCATCAGGACTTGGAGACTTATCAGAGCCACAATCCCAAACAACATGTTTAATTTCATCTCTTGAAATCTCCCCTCCAAGACCGAGAGCTAATCCAAAAAGTTGGGAAGGAAAATCAAAATAAGCGGGATCCGATAAGTACAAGGCAGTGAAAACCTATTAGAAAAATGAGAAAAAAAATTACCAAAAAATGGTCTTCAATCTAGTCACCATTAGAAAAAACACCTCTAAATGTTCTTTGGTTTATCTTTTTATTAATAATACCGTGAAAGTAACAGGTATTTTCATCATCTTCTATATCACTTTCTATCGACCACTAAACTTTAGCTCTCTGAGATAACTCCATAGTTTCCATCTTATTAAGATCAATGAGAGACATGTTTGGGTTAGCTTTTTTAACACAAAATTGCTTTTTAAGAAAATTGCTTATTAGCTTATGGCTTTTAGGAAAAACTGATTTGAAAAAATGTTTGGATAAGAAAATCTGTTTTTTAAGAGTAAAATAATTAAAAAGCTAAAAAACTAAGATTTTCCAGCTTTTTGAAAGCTTTAGTTTTTTCCTATCCAAAAAGTTGTTTTAAAAAGTACTTTTCAAATACACAAATATTTTTTTAGCTTATTAGCTTTTTGAAAAGCTAATAAACTAACAAGTTATTTTAAAAAGTTATGCCAAACACCCACTTAAAATAGAAGCTCTAGACTAAATCAACTCCGGATTACCACCCCAGCACCAAGCTTTTTTACCAACTATGCAAGGGTTGTTAAAAGTTCATTCTTTTTAGAAGCTTTAGAAGACAGAAAATCTTTGTACCAAGATTTTAAAGATTTTTTTAAGAAATTTGAGTTGCTTTTTTAATGCAATGATAACATTATCTTCAATATCTAACTACCTAACTATCAACAAGTTTGGTTGGTAGAAATTATAAATGATATATTTTGTACATTATTGGTAACTAAATTTATGTATTAACTAAAAATGATAGATGGGGAAAAACAAATTGGTTATGTATCATGTTCACCTCTATTTTTGGCAGGATATATTTTATAGACAAAACTGCAAAATTGGTCCATGTGGTATTCAAAAATCTTTGGATAGGGTCCAAAAAGTTTCCAACTTGCATGGAAGGTCCAAAATCAAAACGTTTCCGTGATTTAGGTCCAAAAAAACTTGAAAAGACAATTATGCCCTTTTATATTCTTTTTTGTATTTTTTATAATTATTTCAATATTGTTTTAACTAAAAAATAAAGAAAAATATCCCCCACCCCACCCCACCTCTCTCTCTCTCTCTCTCTCTCTCTCTCTCTCTGGAAATCCATACCGGAAATCGTAGAAACCCATACCAAAAATTCAATCAACAAATTCAAATCCATAATTCTCTCTTTCGAGGTATTTGATATATCACAACTTTGTACAATTGGGATGGATCGATCTGTACATTCTAATCTAGCCTACCTCTCCTTACAAGTAATACTTATAATTTCAGGTCTCTTTCTCTCACAGTTGCAGTTGCAGGTTAGAATCCAAAAGAAAAAAAATGTGCCCAGCTCTTACTCTGAATCTGATTTTACAGGTTTGAGTGTAAAGAAAACGAGAAAAGTGGTATTCTTCTTCCTCTCTGCGTGATTTATGTATTACAGTTGCAAGTGGGTACTGTAAAGAAAACGAGAACAACGATATACTTACCCCACCATAAATCTTCATCTTCGCTCGTCTCTGCCTCTACTTCCACCTTCCACCTTCGCCGACCTCTTCTCTTCTCTGCCACAAATCGATAGAGTTGTGTTGGTTTAGTTGATTCATCGCCTTGGTTTTTACTGTTGAAGTTGAATCCCAAATAAAATCCAGAAGTTGAAGTAAAATCATAAAATGGTTGTCAATTTAACCACTGAAGATGGAGCTAGGGAAGCTGCGATGTCGTCGATTTAATGGTGGCGGTGGAGGAAATCAGAGAATTAGGGTTAGGGTTTGTGATGGGGACATAGACGAAAGATGTGAGAGAAGAATCAGATAGTGATAATGAAATTTGTCATGGTGTATGACTCTGACCATGTGATTCATCAAGTGTTCTTCAAAGATAATGAAACCTAACAAAAACAACTCAGTAGTTCATGAACAAGATGAAGTTAAGGAGTTATGTCACTGTGTGTGTGTGTGTGAGAGAGAGAGAGAGAAAACGGGGTGGGTAGGATGAGGGGTATATTTTTTTCTTTTTTCTTTATTTTTAATTAAAATGGGACTAAAATAATTATAAAAAATACAAAAAAGAAAATAAAAAGACATAATCGTCTTTTCAAGTTTTTTTTGGACCTAAATCACGGAAAGTTTTGATTTTGGACCTTCTATGCAAGTTTGAAACTTTTTGGATCCTATCCAAAGATTTTTAGATACCACAAGAACTAATTTTATAGTTTTGTCTATTTTATAGCCAGTTAAATCTTTTGCAAACCTTTAGTTTGGACTTTTTTTTAAAAAGTAAAATACAAAAAAATAATATAAGTTTGTTACTTTTCTAAATAAAAAATAAATAAATAAAAGGTGTGGTTATGATTTTCTAAACAAGAAAGTAAACTACAATGTGTTTTTCTAAATTTTATCATTAATTATTTATTGGTTTGTAGAGAAATTATAACTATATATACTTCAAAACAAATAAATTAACCAAGTTTTTTTCCTCTTCGTCATCGTGATTGAATTGCAAAAGGTTCTTTAAATTTCATACTTGAGGTTACATTGTTTCTAGGTATATATGGTAAATTTTGAGTTTTATTCTTTATTCCTTTTTTTTAAGGTATATTCGAATTTATTAGACAGATTAGTAAGCTTAACACTATCACAAATAAATATAACTGCCAACCAAACACATGACAAATTCTACTTCCTTTAGACATATTTCAATAATTCAAAATAAAATTTAAAAAAAAAAAAAAAAAAATCATTTTGTAAACCAAACACCAATATATAAATGTCTATAGATTATAAAAGAAGCATCAAAAATACAATTTAACCATACATATAATACATAAGGAACCTGCAAAAAAAAAAAAGTCAATCAACAAATAATTAACTAAAATCAAACTTGCAACATTTTATAATTTAAAAAAATACTTCAACAATAAAATCCGCCTTAATTTAAAGATAAAATGTGTTTATTTTTTAAAGAAATATTTAAAAAAAATATATCCATACCTGAACAAGTAGTATATGATGAAGAATGACATGACAAAATACATCACAAGTTTACATGTTCTCCTACTTGATTTTTTTTCAAAAACCTGCATGATTAAAATTCGCTTTCATTTACCAAAATAGACCCTGTACTTTATTTTTTAACCAAATTAGCCCCCAACTTTTGTTGTTTCAAACTAAAAGGGCATTTTAGTCAAAAAAATAACTATCAGTTACCAAAATAGTTAATCTAGTTTCCTTTTTACCCAAAATAGCAACCAACTTTTATTTTTCAAACTAAAAGGGCATTTTGGTCAAGATGAGTAAAAAGGTTGACTAAGTAAAACAATAATCAAATTCTTTTTACCATTTTGAAGCGATCCATAGTTCCTGACATAATCCCCCTTGCTGAATCCATCCCATTACCCTGTTTATTAAATAATACATAAATAAATAATTAAATAAAAGAAATTATGTATAATGTATATTTACCATTCTGTCCAACATGCGATTATGACTCTGCACCTCATCATGTATATCACCAGTCAACTGAAAAAGACAATTATAAATTTTAAATCTTTTGAGAAAAATAAAAATGGTGTCCAAGATTTACTAAAAATTAAAGTTGAAGAACTGACTCTCTTTAGAAAGACAACTTTATCTTGCAGAATATTTAAAGATTTATCATTTTCTTGTTCATCTGTATACGATGAAGAAGCCCTGAGACCACCTTCTTCAATGCCATCAAGGTTATCAAATACAGCACTTCTAGATGCACGATTGTCCCTAACAAAAAAGAAAAAGATAAAATCATGTGCATGATTTTGTAATTAGTGGAAAATAACTCATATCTGAGCCTTTTCAAACATGTCAGTTGAGTTTATATTAATGAATTTGCAACAAAAAAGCTATAAAAGACTTCAGGCTACATACTCAAACCATCCATAAGGGGACATTTGCACCATTGAAGGTACTATACTACTATTAACAGCTATGTATTTCATTAGTCGACGCAAATCAACAATGCGAATTAACAAATCAATGATTTCCTGGTTAAGGAACTACTTAATTCCCGAACTTTTGCTTAGATTTTACATGGCGTTCAGCGTTTTCCATTTCACTATGGTACAGCAATGCTGAGCATTGATTTCAAACTAGTTTATCCTGTTAACATGTCCTAATTCCCCCAAACAATCAACTCGGATGCAGAAAATAGTACCAGTAATGAATGATAATCATGAATTCATGATCAACATTGATAGCTATAGAGCCCATTTTATTTATAGATATTAGAGATCGAACCTGCGATAGCTCATCTTCGGATCCACGAAAAACGGACGTCTTCTAGTAAGATTTGGTAAAACTTTGCGCAAATTCTAATGATGAAGTAAACCCTAAAGGTTGCATTAGTATCTGTTACCGATGATTTAATGTAACAGGGGATTAGATCCAGTAGATTCAGGCTGCAATTCCAATCTCCGGTGGCCGATTGTAAAGCGAAACGATTATTGAGGGTTTTTTTTGCCCCTTTCACGTTCACGTCAAATGGGTTACTCCCTTTGCTTCTTTAGTTCTGTTACTTATTTTTTTAAAGTAAATTACAGACAAAATTGCAAAAATGGTCATGTGGTATGTAAATTTTTGGGGTTTTGATCCAAACTGCGAGTTTTTTGGATTGGTGGTCCTTTTGAGCTAATTTGCTTGTAATTTTGGTCCCTCGAAAAACTGAAAAGACTAAAATGCCCTTTCTGATATATTTTTTCTATTTAATTTAAAGAAAAAAGAAAATAAATAACTAATTTGGGTCCACTTCTTTCTTTCTCTCTCTCTCTCTCTCTCTCTCTCTCTCTCTCTCTCTCTCTCTCTCTCTCTCCCCCAAACACCCCCTTTTGATGTTGTTGCTTCCCTTCTATGGGTGTGCCACCGGAACAGAAAGAAGAACGACGAGGGAGTTGTCGGAGCAATCTCCCTTACCACATCAGACGGCGGGATCTCCTCCTCCTCCACTCCGCTGCAAATCGCCACCATAAGACAAACTGCCACCACCTCTGCAGCTCCCTTCCTCCCCATTTTCTTTCCTGTTGATTAATCACCCCCAAACACCCTACGATCACTTCGAGTGCTACCCTACATCCACAGCCGACAACAAAAAAGGAATGAAGCATAGAAGAGCACCGGAGCAGCCTTATTGCCACCACCATCTTCAGCCCCTCACCACCACCATTGTCCTGTTCAAGTCATCACCTTCGATTGTTCAACTAACTCACGAAGGTGACGAACCCCCCCCCCCCCCCCTCTTTCATCGCTTGTGTTACAGGACAAAAACAAACCCTCTCACCATTAATGGCGGCGAAATCGATCACCGTTTCTGCTACTCTGGAGTGTGTGTCATCTACAACACAGGAAGGAAAAGAGGATTGATCGGGAATCAAACCAATAGCGACTGTCGGTGGTCCTGAGGAGTTCAATCAAGCAATAAGGGTGAAAATCAAGACTTATTGTGGTTGTGTTTGGTCTGTCAGTCAAACGAAATGGAATGGGTCTTCGAAAGGGATCGCAAGCAACATCTTCTTTCTTTCTTATTTTCCTGATTCGTTATGAAGCATGAAGGAGTCGATTTTTCTGGCGGTTCAAGCCTTCAATCGGGGTTGTGGGGGTTGAGAAGGGTAGCAACAGCCGGAGAGGGTGCTTCTGGTGGTGTTTCTCGGCAGAAGGCGGAAGGGAAGGGGATATGGAGGTGGCGGCAGTGGGGAACTGGGAAAACATCACCGGTGATTCTAGTTCTTTGACAGGGGAAGGAGACGAACGGGTGATGGATCATAAGGAAGAGAGAGAGAGAGAGAGAGAGAGAGAGAGAGGTGGGCCCTTTATTTTTAATTGTTAAAATAAATAAATAAATATTAAAATTTAAGAATAATGAAAGAAAAATGAAAAATAAATACCCCAAGGGTATTATAGTCATTTCAGTTTTTGGAGGGATCATTTTCACATACAAACCACTCCAAAAGGACTACGAACCCAAAAAAGTCACTGTTTGGATTAAAACCCCAAAATTTTGCATACCACAGGGATCATTTTTGCAATTTTGTCTAAATTATATAAATAAATTTCAATCTTTGTCCTAAATTTTTTCCTTTCACACATCCCATGATAGTTTTTTTTTTTTTTGACAAAACTATAAATTTGGTCCCTGTGGTTTGCAAAAATCTTTGGATAGGGTCCAAAAAGTTTCTGACTTGCATAGAATGTCCAAAATCAAAGTTTTTCTGGGTTTTTAGTCCTAAACTTAGGAAATTTCTGTACTTTTGGTCCATAGAGCACTTGAATTGACTGTTTTGCCCTTTAAATTTCTTTTTTGTATTTTTTATATTTTCCTTTTATAAATATTAATGCAAAAAAAGGAATTAAGTTGGCTCACCCATCTCTCTCTCTCTCTCTCTCTCTCTCTTTACCCACCCCACCGGAGCCCTCCCCCTTCTCTCTCTTCCTCTTCATCTTCCTCCTCGCCCTCCTCTCTATCTATTTCTCTCTAAACATAAACACACCTGCAACTCCAAATACACACACACACACAAGGAACTCGAACACATACCAACATCAAACTTATCACAAAATCTATAATAAAAATGAAGTGTAAACATTGATTATTATAAAAAATAGCTCCAGTCTTTCAAAATTAATATCGATGCTCCATCAAAACTTCATCTCAAATCAGAAACAAAATTATTCAACATACTAATTCAATCAAAAAATCGTTTAACATATTCAACCCACAATAATCCAACACAAATATCATCCTAACACGGAATCAACTGAAATCTGGAAAAATACCCAAGAACACTTCAATGGAGAAAATCTTAAAAATTGGAACAAACCATAAAAATCCCAGAATCCAAAACTACATCCCTAAAAACATGTCAGAGTTTCAAGATTTCTGAAAAGTATTGTCATAAGCATCATTCTGATTACTTACAAGAAGAAAATGATGAACCTATAGGCGAAGAACTCTTGAACATATTTACTTTCAAACCTCAACCCTAAGATAATCAGATTAAAGCGAGTTACAAGTGTTCTGATGTTGGATTCGATCGTATTATCATCTAGGGTTTGGGAAATCAGTTTTGTTCTTTGAACTCTAGCCTAGGGATATGTAATTGATCTTGAAATTGGGAATGTAAGATGTGCAGGAGAAAGATGATTTGTTGATGATTTAATTGGGAACTAAGGATGAACAAGGAGCGAGTCGATGTACTTCTTTCATCATGTGCGTGAGTGTGTGAGGGATAGAGGGTTCTACCGACGGTGGGTATAAAGAGGGGATGATAGTGGTGGTGGTGAAATTAGGATGTTGAACCAGACTCCGGCGAGGCCGTTGTTTCCTCCGGTGAGGTCTTTGTTTACTCCGGGGAATCAGTTGCCGAACAAGTAAAGAGTCTTGAGATTCCGACAGCTCCAAAGCTCACCTGGGATTTTTCTGATGAGTTTGATGGAGATTAAAATCAAGTCTTGGAGGTTTTCAAGGTTGCCAATTGAAGACGGGATTGGGATAAGAAGTTCTTCGTGTGTGTGTGTGTGTGTTAATTATTTTCTTTTCTTTTTATTTTTAAATTAAAATAGTATTTTAATAATTATAAAAATACAAAAAGGAAAATAAAATGGCAAAACCGTCTTTTCATGTTTTTTCGACCAAAAACCCAGAAAAACTTTGATTTTGGACCTTCTATGCAAGTCGAAAATTTTTTGGACCCTATCCAAAGATTTTTGCAAACCACAAGGACCAAATTTGCAGTTTTATCTTTTTTTTTTTTGGTTGGAAAATGGCTTAGTACTGAAGTTTTAAAAATGTACAAAAAATACTATTGTTTTATTTTTAGTACTCAAAATACCATTAAAATGTATTTTTTTATACACAAAATACCAATAAAATACACATGTGTTCAAATAAAACCTTGTGGGTAACCTGTTACCGCAGGTAACGGAAAATTTTCATAAAAGGTAACAAAGTTTCAAAAATGTTCAAAAAATATCATTATTTTTTTAGTATAAAAAATATCATTGAAAATTTCAAAATGTTCAAAAAAAACCATTGTTATTTTTTCAGAACACATTTTGTTAACTTCGTTGTTTTCGGATTATATAGAACACAATCATCGGAGATCAGTCACCGTCGTACCAGTTCACATAAGTTGTTTATTATCTTTCATTCCATCACTCGATCAGTTTGTATCTAAATCCATATTTAGGAATTTTCATGACATAACATCACACTCATTTCTCCTTTGTGTCTCTCTTGTGTCGCAACACTAATGAACGGCTAACAATGATGTATAATATGTGCATCTATATAACATATATATGTTTTAGGTTTGAGGCATATAATGTGATCAGGAAGAAAGAATGTTTAACTAATGTTATTACCATTTATATAACATATATATGTTTTAGGTTTGAGGCATATAATGTGATCGGGAAGAAAGAATGTTTAACTAATGTTATTACACACTTACTTCTTTTGTTACCATAAGAACAATCGAGTCAAAGAATGAAAGAGATTTGCACAATTGTTGTGAACTGATATAACGGTTCATGATCTCTGGTGATTGTGTTCTACATAATCCGACAACAATACAATTAACAAATAGTGTGGTATTTTTTAAACATTTTGGAAACTTCGTTACACTTTAAGTTATTTTCCCATTTACCTGAAATATCTGGTTACCATAATGTTTTAGTTGAATACATGTGTATTTCGTTGGTATTCTGTGTACAAATAGTAGCATTAATGGTATTTTTTGTACTAAAAAAACAACAATAGTATTTTTTGAACATTTTGAAAACCGGATAACCTACAATAGCCGGTAAAATGGTATTTTGTGTACAAAAAAAAATAATGGTCTTTTTGTATATTTTTGAAATTTCGTTACCTTTTAAAGTCATTTTCCCTCTTTTTTTTTTGTAATGATTTTAGTCTCTAACAAAAATGATTGTTACATATTTTCTGCTTTTTCTAAAAACAATTTACTATTTAATTCAGAAAATTTTCATTTTTGATCCATATAGTTAATGGTTTACAAAAAGTCTTGGTTAGAAAACACTAAGTCATTGGTCCCTCTAGTTTGAAATCATTGCACGATTGGTCCTTGGCCACAAACTCATCTCTTTTATGTCATTAGACGCAATTTTGGTCTTTTCCCGGTGACCCTTTCATCATTTTCTTAAAAATGTCCCCTTTCTCTTTTTTTCGTTATCTGATTTTTCTCTCATTCGGTTTCTTTCACAATTCCCTTACCTTCGAGCTCTTTCAAAAGGAAAAGTCCAGGTACTGTGCCATTATATTATGGAAGGCCAATTGTATTTGTAACATCATGGGCAACCGAACCATGGTTGTCGATTTTAGTCATGTTCGAAGGTTGGATCAAAAGGTAGGTTCTTTTGGTGGCCCGCTCCATTCATGTGCCCTAGGTCAATGGTTGTGGTTCTACGCTTGATAAGGAAGAGAAACAATCCTGAAGGAAGTTTGATGAAGTTGAAATGGTTATTGTTCTCGGGTTAGGTGTTTTTTTGGTGTATTTATTTCTAAAGTGAAATTGCAAGCATATGTTTGTAATGTTTAAGTACTTAAGGCAATGTTTAAGAACTTTATATTTTAATGACAAGTGTATTTCATCTAATTTAGGTAAATGAAATCTTATTTGTATCATGTACCCTTTTGGTCATTTTGGTCTATGTACCTTATTAGCAACAAACAACATGACACAATGCATATTATTTTACCATTTTGATCCATGAACCATACTGGCAAACAAAGATGAACCATAATAGATTGAGAATTTGGAAATTTTGGTCAATGTATCATATTAGCAAACGAAACACTGGATAATGCATTTGTATTATTTATTTTGGTCAGCATGCCATATTGGCAAACAAAATATTAGGCGATACATTTGTATTGGTCATTGGTCAATGTGTAATACTGACTAAGAAAAAATGAAAAGCACCAACAAACTAACATATTAAAGTTAATTATAAACACCAATAACAATCGGGGTCCACAATTTCATTGCATAACCATTAAATCCAAGTGTTTATACATAACCATTGACTATAATGACCAAGATACTGAGCATACCTATTAGATTTCCAAAAGTACTTTTATCATCAAAATACCAAAACAATGCACTTACAAAAAGCAAATATCAAACACACATAACCAAACTAAAATCTGGTGCTTTCTTTTTCATCTTTGTTTATGGCTCTTCCAACTTTATAAGTCCTTCCATACCCCTTTCAACTCCTAGAGTTATCCCTTTTGTTGTGGAATTTGATGCAAGTAGCAATCAAGTATTTCTTGTTTAAACTATTTCCCTGGCTTGGCTAAACATCAATCTTTTTTTTTCTTTAGCATTCCCACATATAAATAGATTTAGTTAGTAATTTGCTTAATAATTTCATATATTGTTGGTAAATGCTTAGAACAATAAACATGTTTGTAATGTTTGGGTGAAGCTTGGGTAGTAGGATAAGATGACTTATGTCGCTTGTTCCTTTTGTTTATGGAATCAATCTTGTATTGGTATATATTAATCCATGCACTTAGCTAATAACATTAGTTGACCCGAGGTGACACCACAATCTTCACTATTTTTCACTTTTTCATACATTGTAGAAATAACATGATTACATGAAAATACTTGTAATGTCAAGATTCATGCAAGTGTAAGTCCGATAACTTAAGTTTACAACCTACTTGTTCATCCATTAACTAGTGACTTGATACTTTCATGTCCAACTTAATACAAACATTAATTTAGTTGCCTCCTTATTTTCCTCTACTAGTTTTTGGCAATTAGAGTTATGGATCCTTTGTATTGTTTTAGGTACTTTTATAGATATTAACTAACCTTTTATGAGTGCCATACCCCTGGCTGATGGCGGAAGCGCCAGACTGTGCGACATTAGGATGTTGGGATTTTAGGCCAAGATATGCATTGAATAATACACAGGTTGTACTAAACAGCATAGCTATTTATTCATTAAATAAAAGATATCACATAATTTTTCAAGTTATAGGTAGGTTACGAAAGCAAAGTACAAAAGCAAAGCACATAAGTTCTAGGTTGCATCACGAGGGTTATCTCCTCCTTTATTAAATAAAAGATATTACATAATTTTTCGAGTTATAGATAGGTTACAAAAGCAAGTACAAAAGCAAAGCACATAAGTTTTAGGCTGCACAGAAAAGATCGTACAAATTCGGGAATGACTAAAAGTTTCAAAAGCAAACTCACCGTGTTCTATTGAAGGTCTCACCGTGGATAAAATTTGAATTTCATTGAGTTTCCGTCAAACTTTTTGGCATAGAAAATCAACTAGTTTTATATAATTAAATTTTATATACGAGTCGAAAACAAAAATCGCGCGAAAAACCTGAATTTTATCGAAACCATCATGTTTGCGGCCATAGCGAGTTTACGGCCGTAAACCCGTGTACAGCCGTAAACCCGTTTGCGTTTGGTGCCAAGTGGACCCCACCACCGACCATACCCCCATCCTATATATACAGGACCCCCACCTTCATTTTAACTTTCTTGACCGAAAACTCTCTCATTCTCTCTCTACCTCTTGACCGTAAACACCCAAAACACCCTCATTCTTCCAAAAATCAACAAGAAATCACCTTTGGAGTTTGTTTTGGAGCATCAAAAACACGTTTTTCATCGAATTTAGTATACTTGTTGTTGAGTTTACGGCCGTAAACTCTTCAAACCTTCAAAGGCCGTAAACTCTTCAAATGGGAAGTTCATGGCCGTAAACCCCCTTCAAAGTCGTAAACTCTTCCAAAGCGGTGCATTAGACTGAAAAAACCCACTTTCCTCGATTCAATCAAGTCCTAGTAACATTTCTTAACCGAAATCAAGTGTTTTTCTAACACTTTATCTAACAACATCGCTAATATAGATACATATATGTATTTAATTGTTATTAGGATTCCGTTAAGTGCCTCGTACAACAACTCGAGGGTCTTCGTTCCAGTTCAACGCTTACACACGACAAACAGTGAGTTCATACCCTACGCTTTTATGGTTTTAAAATGTTTTCAGGGGGGAATACAAGCCAATCACAAATGATTTTTGTAAACAAAAAAAAGGGATTTCAACAAGTTTAAAACTTATGCAATTGATTTACTTCAACGATTTTCATAAAATATATAGATATTTTATCCCTTTTGTATTATGCGGAGCATAAGGGACACTTTCAGATCTTAATTGCATAGTTTTCAAAACAATTCATGAACCAAGTACATAACATTACAGTCAAACTATAATGGGTATTGTTTGGGGAAAACATTACGCAACTTTGCTGATTCAAATTTCATACATCGAAAATCAAATAAACTATGACAACTTTAGTTTATGATATTCATTACTGCGTTCAGATAACAAAGAGTATAACACTAAGTAATTATTTAACTATAATTGTCCATACTGTACCAAGTA